AACAGTATACATAATCAAATGCTCTTTCCAAAAAGATATTAGAAATATGAAAACATGAATTCTCCAGTGCATCCAATAAGATTAGTCAGTGTATAGTAATGAGAATAAATAGTGTAAAAACAACAGTTTAAGAACCTTGCAGCTCAGGAAGAAGCCCTCTGGGTTTTGGTATGCAGTGCAGTGGTGTGTTTACACATATATAAACACACTTGGAAGATTTTGGTTATGCAGTAACAGCTGTTCACCCCCAGCAGAGGTGAACTAAACATTACATAAACTCCAGTTTGTAACACAGCGACCAGGAGTTTTTGTTGAGTTTCTGATTGTGTCATATTTTCATGTATTTCATAATTTATTGAGTTGCAGTCAAGTTAACAGGAAACCCTGTTAACTTCATGGCAGGTGTTGTCGTTGCTTTTACTGAACACTGCAATGCAACATCTGGAGGGTGTGGTTGTTATGAGATGCTGTCAGTAGGTAGTGTTGCACGATATTTGCTCTGGATGTGTTTTTCTTTCTGTTTTATGCTTTAGGATTGCTAGCTATTTAAAAAAAACAAAAACATTTTTGCCCACATATGCATTTTCTACTGCATACTGTTTTAGCTACTTTCTCACTTATTTAAATGGACTTGCAAACTAGCATTTCAGTGTCAGAACCACAACTAAATGAACTTCAAAAAATGTTTATCAATCTTTGATGCAAAAGGCTCATTAAAAAAAATACGAAGAAAGAACGCTAGCAGTGAGCTCTTGCACAGACATGTCATTGGAATGGTGGTAAAGATCAACGTGACTGCACGCTTGTGTCATCAAGCCAGCTACACCAGCCGTGCCAGGTTACAAAAATAAAGAATAAAACAAAACTGCAATGCCATCTAAAAGACTTGTGCACAGTTAAATTCATTCAGGTATATATAATAATATTAATCAGAATCAGAATCAGAATGGGGTTTATTGCCAGATGTTGAGGTTTACAACATTAGGAAATTGCTGCGGTGCTTCAGTGCAAACAATAAGAATTAAAGTGCTATGTAGAAAGAAAGATATGTGCATGAGATATACATGAGATATATACATGAGAATAAGACTTATGAGTGCTACGTAGAAAGATATATACATTAAGTGCATAGAATTGGTAGATGGCTTGAGCTGTTTTCCTAACAAGAGATAAAGTTACAACTGTAAAATGGTCAAAGTTGTAAAGTCCCGACTGTGGGCATTACACACTGCTGTGCAGTGTTTGGCATCCGATAAGCCTTTTAACGCCGCTAAGGCCACTACTTCAACTGGACTTCCTGGATCATATTTCGTTGTCTCACTGGTACCTTAAACCGCACCACCACTAACCCAGCCCCCTGCAGTGTTTTAAGCCAGCCCCGTTTAATCTGTGTCTTTTTAATAATAAGAGTTCTTGTTAGGAAAATTTGTACAAGCAAAGTAGTGTTTTCGTTTTGGCGAGCAAGGTCTTAAAAGATTTTGAAATCCCAACTCAGGAAAAACTGTCCAAGTGTTAAAGACGTAGATACGCTGACACTTGCATAGCGTCCAAAATTAGATTTATGATGTTTTCTAGCCTTTCCCCCTTTGAACTGGCACACCAACACATATTCTTTGCAAAAGTAATTTCATATCTGCCGTACAAATGCTCTTAGACAGATTTATTTTTTTCACAAAGCCAGATAATAACTGCTCACCTCCTCCCTCATTTCTTTTCTTTGAATTCCATGGACCACCTGAATGACCACAATCCAAAAACAAGACACTGGGGGCACATGGGTGGATCACTGTGAGAGTAATGCCTAGTCATTAGCCACTAATCAGCATCATTTAATAGTGAAATTCTTGTTATTCCTAAATGAGGCTTGATAAGAAATTTGTTAATTGACAGGAAACTCAAAATCTCAGCGGTCCGGTCCATATGCTTTACTGAAGTCTTACTTACTGAAGTCTCCGTGACTGTGTGTGTTGCTTTAGCTACTGGATGGGGTAACCCCAGTCGCTTGCCTCCTCAACACCTGTGTTTACTTTGGGGCCTCAGTCCCCATGACCCAGCAGCAATCCTTCACTCACTCAGAAGATGAAGTGAGCTTCTAGCCTCCAAGTATGTGCTGTCCATGCACTTTTACCACTGTGTGATTCCTCTAAGACTTTCATTATGGGGTACAGGCCAAATGACTAGTATAAATTACAATCTTGGTCCAAATTCTAGTAAAGTTAAACATTTAGATCCTGTTCTGTTTTACTGTAATGTCAAGTTAATCTAAGAGCAGAAACTGCCTGTTTGTCTGTGCTTGTTGTGGATGTTAAGGCTTTCTTAAAGTGCTTTGGGAATGGAAAGTGAATTTGAGGAGCCATTAATGTAGAATATAACTGAACCTGTCTGCTCTTTGGACAGTGAAGCAGACAGAACTGGATTCAAGATGGAAGAAACAGATTTATTACCAACTCACAGGTGTCTGCAGGAACGTTTGGGATCATTACTTCCTTTCACATTGCCTGTAAAGATCCAAGTACTGAACCTCAGTACACTGTTTGGTTCTGTTATGTGTCAAGTAGTTTTATAAGTGGTCAAGTAGACCTACTAAAAGAATTGACCGCATATTCAGTCAGATCCTTAATTGAGAAAGATTTAGTGACTCCTCCTACAAAAGTAAAAATTATACCTAATTTAAATTTGGTGAGTGTCCCCTTTGAGATTTTTTCATCTCTGGACCTCTTCTAGCGCTGCTGAAGTTTTCTGTGAATTTTCTGTTCTGACCACTTGTATTTGTGCATTAGCAATTTTTATTCACACAGAAGGCAAACATCTGCCTTTGTGTCCCAAATTTCATGCTGACGCTAAACAGTGGTAGTTCCTACAACACTCTTGTGTTAAAGAAGCCGCAATGTCCAACCCACAAAGCATTGCTTGAGGTCAGGAGCTGATTCTTATTTAATTATTCCTTGAGTTGTGGGTTGAAATCTATTCCTCCCAACCAGGTAATTCTCTCCGTGCTCATAGCACGTTTTTCGGCCAAACCAGCACAGATAACCAGCAGAATGAGATGTGCCTTTGTCTGCTTTCCCAAGATCCAAATCAAGTTAAAGGTGCTGCTTCGGCAAAATGAAGACCAGCTCACATCACAGATAAAATATAGCGCACAAGTGCCCAGAAAACATTTTGACACTGAGTAACTGTTGACTGGAAGTATTTTCTAAATATCCAGTCTTGGTTAAAAGTTCCAAATTGATTGATGAGCCCATGTCAAGAGGTGGTTCGGTGCAGATTAGTAAGAATTTTCTGTTGGATCTAAAACTTGACACCCATATAAGCACTAATATTAAAGAATTGAAAATAACACCCAGGTATTATTTTTAGTTATTTTAATAGATAGATAGAACCTTATTAATCGCTCGGGTAGATTCCTCCGGGAAATTCAGTTTCCAGTAGCAGAACACGGAAACAAATGTTTCTTTATTGTTGTAATCCTAATATGTTTGCCTAGGTCTCTCTTGTAAATGAGACATTAAGTCTCAGTGGAACTAATAAAATCAAACCCACAAAAATACATATAGCTACATGGTACAGACCATCCAAGAAGTTCTGCTCACTCCAAGTGAGTGAAATTCTGCCATTTTATTAGTGAGTTACTTAGCAATGGTTAGCATGTGCGTCTGTGCATTCAACCCATTCCATTTATAAATTCAGATTTGCTAACCAATCCGTATGGCGTTAGCGCGCCGCCATCTCGTCCAAATACTTTCACTCCTTGCAAAAAAATAAAAAAATAATAAAAAATAATGGCAAAAAAGCTTACTTTGGTCTGTTTAACTAACTAAAGAAGAAAGAACAGTTTGTTTGGTCTGTTTAACTAAATATTTTCTGAGTTGATTAACGACCATTTTTAATGGATCAATTTGTCCCACAATGCACTGTTGGGAAATGGGCTTTGATGATATCATTACAAATGAAGATGAAACTGCATAAATATAAAGTTGAATTTAGGTGAAAAAATATTAAAAATCTTCATAGTTCAGTTCCATGTTATAAGTGAAATACTTAACTCAACACTACTTGAAAAATTGGGCATAATGCACTCATGGGAAATCTGTCGAGAATTTCAGATTTTGTTTGTGTTCATCACTGTTCCAGAAAGCTGAAGTAACACCGGAGTTGCACGTTCTACTTTATTGTAGCTTATTTAAAGGCTGTTCTGCTTCTTCTTTTTATTTTTTATTTTTTATTTTTTTTAAATTACATTCTCTCTTCTTCATGTTTTACCACAACTGAGAAGTCACCAATGGCCTGTTTACTGCCTTTAAGATGTTAACTTGGTGTGGGTCTGATGAATGTTTTGCACAGTCGCTTCTGGATGCGTGCCAAAGTTCTGCTGCTCATACTGCAGTGTTAACTGTTCAAATATTAGTGCCAGTGTTTTTTCAGGTGTGGATACGTTTGTGTGCGCCAGAAACAAGTCTCCATGGAAACAGGCTGGCCTAAGTGTAAAAAGTAAAAAGTCATTGAACTCAGATATGATTAATAGCATCTTGCTGGAACCTTCTGCTGATTTTTGTACATTTAAGATGTATTTTAGAATAAAAACCCCTACTTATTAACAACTTAATTTGATACCTTCCGTTAAGAATTTATATGTGGAAGCGTTCTCAGAGCTAGATAAGCTTTGGTGAAGTGCTGTGGATGACATACTAGATGCTGGCTTGAGTCTGCGGGATTATACTTGCAAATTGAAAGGAAAGTCATGCAGACAGAGAGCGGAAATATCTCTCTTCTACAGTGTCAAAGGAGATAAAAAACAAATCAATGGCCAATTTTTAATTCACTTTTTCTTTATAATGTTTGATTATTTGCTCATGTTAGAGCAGAAGGGGGTCAGACTGCCCTGTAGCAACACGAAGGTGAAGGTGAAAAGCTTCCATTAAGAACCTTTAAGGCTTCATGTGACTTTTTTTCAGGTTAAGAGAAACATTTTCAAACCGTTTGAGTGTTGTCTTTTCCAGGACACTGGCAAGTGCAGGAAAAGAACTCAAAGATAACTTCCTGAAAGCCCTGGCAGAGCGAGAGGAGGCCAACCGCAGTGGGAAAATGACTGTGAGTACATTATTACAGCACTCCAATTGCTACGTAATGGGATTCCCCTCAAATATTTCTGCAATTCCATTAGGATGGGAACAAAATCCATACTGTGTCAAGTTGAGTGGAAATGCCCTCCCCAGTTCCTTCCTAAATACCATGAGACCCGGCTGCCTACCCGTTTCTGATCCATAAAACTTTGTTTACAAAAACTCAAACTACCTGGTCCCAAGTTTGCTTTTTGGATTGAACCACTAAGATAGTTTCTAAGGGGGCCTCACCTGTGGGGCTGTGGTGCCGACTTGAAGTTATATAAACTTTTAGGGGAACACGCTCAGCTCAGTATTTCATCTGACATTGCACAATAAAATGGAATGATTAGTCTTGCTAGTGAAGTGAGCGAAGCCCTACCCAGACCTGCTGTTTTAATGTCCTTTTGCAGATAACCAGTAAATTTAGTCTTGGACTAAAGTGGACCTTGGAGAACCTTTCACCTGTAAAGATTATCCCGAGATTGTTACTTTATGTGTACTAATCACACCGAGTTTAAGGCCCAGATGTATTGTTAGTCAAATGCGATGGAAATGAAGGCCTTCTGTTGAAGAGTCATAAAACTGCATTCTTGTTTTGTGCCGAAGGTCAAATTTCTCAAGTTGGGAAGCACTTTCTTAACTTTATTGTGATCGTGTACTTCTAACGTCAGTCCAGCAGGTCTTTGGGTGACTTACATAGGGTTAGGGGTAGTTTGAGTTGGATTTTTGGAATTCATATGAAAGGTTGTCTCATGGTGTCTGCATCTTTTTCACACATCTTTTCTGGGGAATCCTGGTTGAAGAGATTAAGTTGCTAAATGTTTCTCTTTCACAGTGCAAAATGTGGGAAGGAAAGTATTTAAATTGTACTGAATTCAGAAAAAACCACTTCCTATTTAGGCCTAATGTAGCCATGGATGGTTCAGCGCTGTGACTTTGTATTCAGCGTGAATGTTTAGAGCTGAGCCCCACATATTTCTGGTCCTCAGTAATGCCCGTCTTCTGATTAAACAGTGCTGTCAAGGCTGTTAATAATATTTTGTGAATTTCCCCTTATATCAAAAATGCATTCTTCTATAGCTGCCTCTATTCAGTCTGAATTGCTGTGCTGTGTACAGACTGAAACATATCTGTAAACCCTGAGCTTACAAAGAGTTATTTTGATTAGTACAATACTTGCTCCCTCCCTTAAAAGGTTTCCTACTTTTCGATCCACTGATTTGTGCTGCTCTTGGTAGGTTGCGATGCCGTTATTGAATTGAAACTACCTGCATTGTTTTTTGTTTATAAATTTCAAATCCCATTATCACATTTTTGCAATTGTCCTGCTTAGAGAGTCTGGGTCTAAACCAGAATCTGAAGACGACAATGATATTTTATTTCTATAGTCTCTGGTGTTTCTGTTTAAAAAAAAAAAAAAAAAAAAGTTCACTAAACTGTGTTCAAAAACCCAGTTTTAATTTTTTATACCGAACTTCATTGGTTTCTTGCATTTGTTTTTCTCCTCTCAGTATATTCTTTCATATCCTAATACATAACTGTTCTTTGGATGCATTATTTTGACTGAGCCTTCAAAATAACTGCCCAAATAACTATCTGGAAGTGTTACTGTGTTACCAAGATGGTTTCTAAGTGGCAGGACTTGCTTATTTCTGGGTTTTACTTACCCATCTGTCCAGTCTCAGACGTAGCTGTTGAGTGAGATGTTTTTGGATCACAGGCAAAACCTGTATGCTTAATTAAACCTAGATGCACTAGGGAAAAATTTCAGCTCGTGACCATGAAGCTGACTATTTTCATTGCAAACAGTTACTTTTAACATAATTCTCAGTCTTTACTTATATGATGAAAGGAATGTGGACCATTTGAGGGCACGTACACTGCATTGTTCTGCAGGGAGTGTTAGTGTTGATAGACTTCAAATGATTCACTTCCAAGATGCTGGAGTAACAAAAAGGAGTTTTGTTTGACCTCCATTTACCTGCCCCTGTGGGCTTTGCAATTATGAGATCACATGAAGTGCATGGAGGGGAGTAGGAGTAGTAACACCAAAAGCTTCCCTGCTGGTTGTTAACAGAGTAAACCCTACCATGTAAAAGCCCCCACTCCCCTTTCTTTTATCCCTTAATAACTTAAGCCAACTTTTTTCTTTCACAGAAACATCCAGTGAAAATGTATTATTTCTTCCTGCATGCAGAAAACAGAGTCATAATAAAAACAAGCAAAACGTTACAGTTTACATCCCTACCTCTGTTTTGCTGACATAATATTTTCCCACCTCTTCTTATTTTTCACCTTTTAAGAGTTCCCTTTGCTGAAAAATTGGATTGGGAAGATGTTTATTTTCCTTTCAGCTCTTTTCTGCTTAAAATTGAACCCACATTGGTGCGCTTAATACTCCTCCTCTTTGAAACTGTTTATGTAACAGGTAATCTTAATGCAGTTTGACGAAGCTTGACCTCATTGGTATATTTACATTACACAGATGTGTTCCAGAGACAACATTTGCACATGTGTCGACACAAAGTAAAACATATGTTGAGGCCAGTTCCATACATAGCTTCAGACTGGTATTGTACCATATGTATTGTTTATAATACATTCGTTGTAATCTGTTAGTGAGCACTGATCCCAGTGTTATTCATAAATACCACACATGCTGTATTTCCATACTAACATGTGCAAAACCCCCCGAAAAGACACAAATACAGTCATGCTGCATGAAAAATTTGGGCTCAGTTTAAATTTCTTTCCTCTTCTCTCAGTTACACCTAAAGTCCCTTCAGTGAAAGTGTAAAACTACACCTGTTTGTCTTCGATAAGGTTCGATAGTAAGACCACCCGGCATCATAAAATGTCTCTCACACTGTTTAAAGTTAGCTTTTGGAAGGACTAGATTTAAGCTTCCTACCTGCTACGCACCTCAAACCTGAAGATCAGTCCCTCTAATGCATTCCAGGTCCTCGTGTCTTCATTTTCTTACTGTGCTCTAATGCAAAGCAGTTCTCGTCCAACATGTGTTTTTACTTTTTCCTTTCTTTTTTCTTTGTGTTTGCACATTATTATTATTTGAAGCATTTAATTTTAAGTGTGGTGCATGCTTTAAAAGACCCACAATTAAACACAGACACACTCAAACACTCCCAGCCTTTCTTCTTGGTCAAATCCACAGGGTTAAGTTTGTTGCTTAAAAACTATCACATTTGAATTGAATTGAAATTAAATGATTAAATGACCTTATCTGTATGATGCAATGTGGAAGTTTTTATGGTTTTTCTTGTAAATCCATCTGGTGTCTCAAGTGTCACCTACCAAATTTCTCATAAAGGATTTCATCACTGAAAGGCTGTGAGGAGAAAAACCACACAATGGACAAGAAAGCCGAGTTATAGCTTTTCCTTTAGATGCATGACACATTCATTGTCATCTCTTGTCTGATTTGTCAACGGGGTCACTCCTTTGTCTTTCTTTTATTGTCACACTCAGCCTTTCAACTTTTAAGATTGAAAGTACACCTGTCAATTAATTCACATGTTGGGTTATTCTGTCTCCTCTGTCCTTGCCCTAACAATGGTGTTAAAAAAGATTGATAGCAGACATGACTGTTGATGAAAAGAACTCATCTTTCCTTTGTGTGCTGTGTCACTGCACCCCTCCAGGAGCGTGACCTATTTAGTATTCACAGTGTTGACTTTAATGTATTTTTTAAATTTAGTTGCTTCATAAGTGTTCAGGTTGTAGTCAGCAGAAGGAGCCCTTTGCTAGCCGTCTGATCCAATGAACCTATAAGGCTTTCAGTGCCTTGCCTTTGTTGTGCTATTGGTTCCCAGACTCTGTTGCGAAAGCTGCTGCACTGCCAAAAGTTAGACACAAACAAAAGCTGCACCTGGGCAGCTCTGACTTTATTTGCACTGGGTAAGAAGTTAAGGGTTTTATCAAATCCAGGTCACACCTGCACAGGATGCCTGAGGGTGTCCATTGTTGCGAGGTTCACATTTGAAACTTAAGGTGTGCTGCCACCACCCACCCTGCTCCCTGTTTGTCTTCAGCTGTTTGTTGAAAGGCTCTGATGTTGCAATTTCACAGCCAATCTAACATTACCTATGGAAGAGCACAATTCTGTTATATATGAAGCAGGGAAATTATTGAGACTTCACAGGGTTATTTAGCCAAGGCTGTGACAACGATTATGTTATAGATTAATAAAGATTAAATAAGAAAAAATTGTCAAGCTATGGTCAAATACATTACATTTTAATATTTGAGTGGAGAGTGTTAAGTGGTAACATTGTTTTTGTAAAACATTTAGTAACAACATTTATCGTTAATTAACATTAACCTGTGGCAACGCGAGCACAACATGAAGCTTTTTATGGTTTTTGTCCCGGAAAATCAGACCTCAGTTAAATTGTGGTTGTGAATTCATTAAAAAACAAAATAGTTTACGAATGTTTCCCCTTGTTTGTCTGCTCTGAATGGGAAGTTACTCCTGATTATCCTCCTAACGCCCTCACCACCACACTCCCCTGCTGTTAAAGTCAAACCTGCCAACCCACACATTCCCACCCCATCCTACCTCCTGTTGTCGTGCCAGTTATTCCTGTTAATTCATTTAACTTTGACTTCTGTTCAGTTTTCATGTTTCACTCTATTCCAAAAGAAAGAAAAGTCAGTTTGACTGTCGACCACCTTTGTTTGCTGGGTGAATCCAGTCCTGGCTGTATCCAGAATGTTTTGAAATGTTTAGTATTAATTAAACTTAAAATCTCTCTTCTTTGTTATTTAGGACCACTATATTCAAAAGTAGATTATTTTATATAGCCAATAGTTTATGAATTGAATAAGTTGCAAGGTGGCTTGCAGATGCACTGTGTGCAAATTAAAGTAGTTCCTGCAGTATGATGGAACTTCTGTGTATCGTGATACAGCACACAAAAGTTTGCCCCCACTTCTTTTGGGGGCTTTTGAATTTGTACAAGAAAATAA